GCCTTGCAAAGCATGATTCAGGCCACGAGCATGGCCCGTATCAACCGGGCTGCACACGCCAAGACATCACCCGACAGCACGCAGACCTTTAAGATAGGTGACCTTGTAGACATCTACCGAAAACCCTCAAGTAAGGACACTTCGGGGTGGTCAGGGCCATATAGGGTGGTCAAATCAGAGCCTGGGCAAGTCACCGTGCAGACAGGAGGGACTGACCGAACTTACCGTGCACAGGATGCTCGCCATGCACTCCTTGTGTTGATGGCCGAACATCAAACCACTAGCTGGAGTGAGTGCATTCACGTTGTGATGACCGCCATGCAGGAACTCAAGCCAGGTCAGTCAAGTCTTTTCGGCTTCGCCAATCACCCTTTGGGCTCCAAGGTGCTGTCCCAAGCAGCTAAACAAAACCCAGCAGTCCTACACGCCTTGGAACACCTGTTCACCAACTGCTGGCGAGTGGGTGAGACGGTGGGAGCTCGCTTAGCTGTGGGAGCCAAAGCCCTATCGGCAGTGTCGTTTGCATCACACTCCACCGTGATTTGGTGGTTCCACCAGCCTGATGTAGATGTAAGGTTTGGCAATGTCAACAGCACCAGGGTCAACCTAGCAGACCTCATAGGACCCGAACACCCTAAGGCATTCGTGATTCAAGCGTTGCATGCTGCGGACCATGACATCACCATGGCCGATGCGTGTGATGAGGCCGCAGCTCTTAATCACGAGAGCCTGGTGGAGCCAGTCCTCCCGGACAGTGATGGTGAGCACTCAACAATCCGCACTCCCGATGGACCCTTATCCACGATTCCCGAAGCTAGCGACGAGGATGAAGCAGCTAGAACCTTCTTGGCAGCGATGCCCGATTCACAGGAGGAGGTATATGCCGCCCTTAAAGTCCTTTTCGAAGCAGCAGCCAATGAGCCACTCGAGCCAGTGTCCGAGACGGAGGTGTGTACGTTAGGCCCCTATGAAGCACCGATTGATTGCTCTAAGGCCTGTGATTTTCACCCTCTGTCTCATTATCACGCCGCACAAGTAGACCCTTCCTTGTACGGTACCCTGGATGTTCAGGATGAATCAGGCAACCCCCGAATAGAACTTTGGTTTAGCAGGGAATTCGCCAAGGTTGTTGGGGATGATAGCCTTCTGCCAGCCGAGCACACCTACGTCATGCAGGTGTACGCGTCCGGCTTTCGCAACACAGTCATCAAGAGGGACACAGACCTGCTGACTCCCCAGGAAATGGTGACTCACAAAGAGGAGGTTCAGGCTGCCACTCTCGAAGAGCTGAGAACCTGGCTGAAATATAAATGCTTCACTCGAATGCCGAGAGATGGTGCCACAAACATCATGGACTCCAAGTTCGTGGCGAAATGGAAGAAAACTGACGGCACGGACGGCAAGCCTAAGCGCATTGTCCGAATGCGCCTAGCGCTGCGTGGGTTCAAAGATCTCATGGCCCATGAACTGGAGTCGTATGCCGCCACGGCATCCAGACAGGCACAACGTCTTCTATGCTCGGAAGTGGCATGCAATCCAGGATGGAAATTTGTGGCCGTAGACATAAACAAAGCATTCTTACAGGGCCTCACTTACGCAGAGCTACATCAACTGACAGGCGAAGATATGCGAGAAGTTCAATTCACGCTTCCCCCTGAGAGTGCCGAGTTGTTGCGCCGCCTTCCAGGCTACGAAAGTTTTGATCAGCGAAGAGAAGTGCTTAAGTGCTTAAAACCCGGCACCGGTTGTGTTGATGCACCACGTGCTTTTAGCTTAAAACTGGCTCAATACACCCGTGACCCTAAGATAGGCCTTAAGCCGAGTCTATATGATTCAGAACTAGAACTTAAACATCGCGGAGGCAGGCTAGTGCTGATCCTGGTGAAGCATGTCGACGACATAAAAATCGCCGGGGAACCAGCTGAAGTTGAGAACCTTATTCGGCATCTTGAACAAGGATTCGGGAAGCTCACGTATGCTGAGGACTCCTTTCTTAACTGCGGACTGCAACATGTTCGCCATCCTGACGGTTCCGTGGAAATGAACCAGGACGCTTACATCGACGCGATGAGGCCTATACAACACCCTGAGCTTACAGGACGCCGCAGCACTGACGTTTGCACAGCAGAGGTGCACCAGTTGTACCAGAGTCTTTTAGGTGCAGTGGCTTACAGTTTACTCTCTCAAGCTTGGGCCGCCGTGTTCGTGATAGCTCTACAACGCAAAACTGCAGCCCCCCAAAACATCCACGTCCGCAGACTGAATTTGCTGCTCGCAGCACTGCAACGGCAAAAGAGGAAACTCTTCTTCCCTGCCATGAAGTGTGCGCGAACTATAGTGGTATATTCTGATGCGTCCTTCGCCAAGGAAAGCGAGACCAAAGGATATGGGATGCGAGGCGCAGTCTATCTCCGGATGGGTACGTTTCGAGGCGAATCTGTCTGCCATCTTCTGGAAGCTCAGTGTCAAAGCTTAAAGCTTGTGACGCGTAGTACTTTTGCTTCAGAGACTCTGGCAGCCGTAGGAGCCGTTGACAGTTTAGTACCGCTACTGGTGACTATGCAAGAAGTAGTCCATGGTGCCCTAAACCCTGACCAAGCCCGTAGTCTAAGAGAACACGGAGGCTTTGTTTTCCAGTCAGAGCTCAGGGTGGATGCCATGAACCTGTTTTATGCAGTCACCGCAAAGTATCCCAAACTCCCGGCTGAGAAAGCTCTCTATATTCATGTAGCGTGGCTACGGGATTTGTTCCGACGCAGAATACCCAGTCTTCTCAGCTGGTGTGACACCCGTGACATGGTCGCAGATGGCCTAACCAAGGGGAAGATAGACAGGGATGCGCTGTTTGATGCTATGGCCGGAAAGTGTACAGTAAGCCATCCCCTTAAGACAGAGCGCTACCCTGTTCTATCCAACTCTTCCGGTCCTGTGAATATCTCAGGCCAACGTTAACGCCAAACTCAGCAAAGCACACCCGACACGAAAGGTAGCCTTGAGGACATGTACAGACTGTCTCATCGCAGCCAGTTCGGCACGTGCTGCTTACTTGAAGGCCCGTAGCGGTAAACATGAAGGGTTCTTGCGTGACGTGCATGGCGCTACTCCTTGTCTTTGGACTCAGGGTTTGGTGTTTGGGGTTAAGGGTTTAGCGTTGGGTGTTTGAAGTTGCGGGTTACGGTTTGGGGTTATTGGTTTAGGGTTTCGTGTTTAGGGTTCAGGTTTCCGGGTTATGGGTTAAGGGTTTAGGGTTTAGTGTTTGGGGTTCAGGATTTGGTGTGTGGGGTTCACGGTTACGGTTTGGGGTTTAGGGTTGGGGGTTAAGGGTTTATAGGGTTTGGGGTTCAGGGTTTGGTGTTTGGGGTTCACGGTTACGGTTTGGAGTTTAGGGTTGGGGGTTAAGGGTTTATAGGGTTTGGGGTTCAGGATTTGGTGTGTGGGGTTCAGGGTTTGGTGTTTGGGGTTCAGGGTTACGGTTTGGGGTTTAGGGGTTTATAGGGTTTGGGGTTCAGGATTTGGTGTGTGGGGTTCAGGGTTTGGTGTTTGGGGTTCAGGGTTACGGTTTGGGGTTTAGGGTTGGGGGTTAAGGGTTTATAGGGTTTGGGGTTCAGGATTTGGTGTGTGGGGTTCAGGGTTTGGTGTTTGGGGTTCAGGGTTACGGTTTGGGGTTAGGGTTTATAGGGTTTGGGGTTCAGGATTTGGTGTGTGGGGTTCAGGGTTTGGTGTTTGGGGTTCAGGGTTACGGTTTGGGGTTTAGGGTTTAAGGGTTTGGGGTTCAGGATTTGGTGTGTGGGGTTCAGGGTTTGGTGTTTGGGGTTCAGGGTTACGGTTTGGGGTTTAGGGTTGGGGGTTAAGGGTTTATAGGGTTTGGGGTTCAGGATTTGGTGTGTGGGGTTCAGGGTTTGGTGTTTGGGGTTCAGGGTTACGGTTTGGGGTTTAGGGTTGGGGGTTAAGGGTTTATAGGGTTTGGGGTTCAGGATTTGGTGTGTGGGGTTCAGGGTTTGGTGTTTGGGGTTCAGGGTTACGGTTTGGGGTTTAGGGTTGGGGGTTAAGGGTTTATAGGGTTTGGGGTTCAGGATTTGGTGTGTGGGGTTCAGGGTTTGGTGTTTGGGGTTCAGGGTTACGGTTTGGGGTTTAGGGTTATAGGGTTTGGGGTTCAGGATTTGGTGTGTGGGGTTCAGGGTTTGGTGTTTGGGGTTCAGGGTTACGGTTTGGGGTTTAGGGTTGGGGGTTAAGGGTTTATAGGGTTTGGGGTTCAGGATTTGGTGTGTGGGGTTCAGGGTTTGGTGTTTGGGGTTCAGGGTTGGGGGTTAAGGGTTTAGGCTGTGGTGTTTTGGGATTCAGGGTTTGGTGTTTGGGGTTCAGTGTCAGTGTTAAACTCCTGGCTTCATCGGCAGGTTTCTCTCAAGCGGATTGAAGAATGCTCGTCACCGTCATGGCTGGGCGCAGTTTAAGCCAATATTGAGGCTTGAATCACTAGCAATGCCATTCCTTAGGGCATCTTTTGCTGATGATGTCAGAATCTACCACAGAATCGTGAGTTAATTAAACAGAGTCCTACATTCTGGGGTTTACTGTCGATCTCTACGGTGCTTCCATAAAGCCTCAATACGATTCCCTCGGCGCACGAACCCTACAGTGGATGATGTTATCAGAGTGTATTTACTACGAACTAATTAAGGAACCCTAAGGAATAATATGTAGGTAATTAGCTATTCAGGCTTCTATGCGCGGAACTCTACAGCCCCAGGACTTTGAATGCTGCCTACTAAAAGCAAACCGATGGTTCTTCCCTCCTGAGCACATCATCAGGAAAGTCCTAAACATAGGAATTTAAGGGTTTAGGGTTTCGGGTTTAGGGTGCTGAACATACGAGTTAAAACTTAGGGGGTTTCAACAATTAGAATAGGATTCGTTTTAGGGGTTGGTTGAAGGCTTTCAGGTATACCAGAAGCCCAAAACAGCATCCCAAGAATCGGAAAGCTGCCAACACGAGAGCCGAGGTCGTCGATCATGACGATTCTTGGCATCTTGCCTCAGCCGCCAGGGTCGTTCATCTCTGAGCCACGTTCTTCCGGGCCTCTGCCAGGTCAGAAATTCGGGGTTTAGGGTTTAAGCGCGGCCCCGACCAAAAACCTAAAGCCCCCCCCCCCCTCCCCCCCCTCCCTCCCCCCCCCTTGCAATACTCTGGCGACAGTTCCCACAGCCTTCCAGGTATAGGTTTTAACCCGGCAACTGGGCTGGGGACCCTACTTATATTAAAGGATCATGGGACTTAGCAACTAGGGTTATGATTAGGGGAACTATACTTATAGCTACTTATAACCCCAAGTAACGTACTCATAACCTTACTTACTAAGTCCCATGATCGTCCAAGTAGACCCTAAACCCAAAACTAAACCCTATAGATCCCCTTAAGGGGCCCTTTAAGAACCCTTACCAAGTCCCATGATCCTCCAAGTAAACCCCAAAGCCTAGTGTATGGTCCCAAAGGGTCCTCTGTAGCGATGTAGTAGAATGTAGGGTTTCCATACTAGGAATTACGATTATGACTTAGGGAAGTATCCCCCATAACAATACATACGGTTGATGATATAAATCCTGCATTACCTTAAGGACCCTAAACTATGGGAATTATGGTATATTCCTTATTATGGGTCATGCAGGATTTATATCATCAACCGTAGGACCCTTTGGACGTCTAGGGTTACAGGCCGCATCCTTAGCGGCCCTAGTATTTCCAACTCTCGAGCCCGAAACTGCAAGGCTGAACTCTATAACCCCCGAAAAAACCCCTACTTGGAGGATCTAGTAGGGGTTCTTAAAGGGCGCCTTAAAGGGATCTATAGGGTTCCTTAAAGGTCTAGAGGGTTTAGTTTAGGGTTTAGGGTCTACTTGGAGGATCATGGGACTTAGTAAGTAGGGTTATAAGTACCCTAACTGGGGTTATAAGTAGATATAATAACTATAGTTACCTTACGTATACCCTACTTACTAAGTCCCATGAACCTCTAAGTATCCCCTAAACCCTATAGATCCCTTTACGGAACCCTATAGATCCCTTACTGGGACTCTTACCAGGTCCCATGGTCCTCTAAGTACTCAAAGCAAAGTTTAAACCCCAAGCCCCTATAAACCGGAAAGATTCTTCAGACAAAGTTTGGGTACCAGGAGTTTTGTATAACCCTAAACCCTAAACCCCATAATGAGGACTGCTTGGACCCTTGGGTATGGACTCAAGATTCGGTATTCAGGTCTTGGGCTTAGTTTAGAGCTTAGGGATTTCCATCTTTTGAACTTAGGGTGTGCAACACCCCGCCCCGTGTTTGGCTTCTCGGCTTCAAGGGTTGAGATCAGGCTTGAGCTTTTGAGGTTTATGGTGTATGTACATGTTTACGTACTCCCGTATTTGTTTAGGCAAAGCTTATGGGGATTGAATATGGATCCTGCCTTGGGGCAGCAGGACTCCTAAGCGGGGGAGTCTGTGGCAACCGTGTCTAGGGGAGCCGTTCGTTCATGTGTGCTTCTTGTGTCTGTCTTAAGCCCTCAACTCGTGCCAAGAATCCTAAGCGCGACCGTCTCGTACATACCGAAGATCCAAAGCTCTGCGCTCAGGCAACAAGTGGTACGCACTGAAGGGGTGCTATCTCTGCCTCACGCTCGCCTGCGTTTGCTCGTCTCTGTCGCCGAGTCCCGGGGCTGAGAGGGCTCGGAACTTCCTTGGGGTTTTTTAGGGTTTTAGAGTTTAGGATTTAGGGTTGGGGTTTAGGAATTAGGGTTTAGGATTTAGGGTTTAGGGTTTCCGATTTGAGGGTTTAGGGTTTGGGGTTTAGGAATTTTTGCAGGATGAAGTACGTATAACTCTAAGGGTTCAACTGACCCAAGAATTAGATAATCGGGTTAAGGACGTAGTTTTGAAGATTAATGAGTTTATGGGAGAGTATAGGATGATTATATAGGATGATTAAGTGGACCCTTAGGGAAACACAGGTGTATGTCAGAGGTATCACGGGGTGTTGAATAAACTTCTGGTGTATTTGCCAAGCCTATGCCAAGTTTGTGTTCTTTCGAAGGGCCAAACAAATGCATTAGCCGCAGTCATACCATCCTCCTGTTTGAGGACGACTAACTTACTGGCATTGAGAACCAATGACACAAGAAGTTGCTTGCCCAGAAGTCCACATTTCAAGTCCCAGTTCTGTTCTAGACTGCTTCGTAGCTTTCGAGATTGCGGTTTCTTGACGTGGAGGTGAAGTTTGTTCTTCTAACTCCAGCCCACCCTCCCAAAAAGGTCCAAAACACCCATCTAGTAGAATGTAGGGTTTGTAAAGTAGGAATTGCTAGTATGGCTTGGGAGAGTACTCCCCAATAATTACTATTTACTATTACTATTACTATTACGCCAATAACAGTACAACGTGCAGCTGGGCCGGGCTTTGGAGTCTGCTGGCCTGGGCTCAGTCTACCCGATGCTGCGTTTCGAGTTCAGGACTAGTTCCTAAAGCCTTTGTTTAGGGTTTAAGGTTTAGGGTTTAGGGCTTGGGGTTTAGGGTTTAGGGTCTTTGAGAGCACAGGAGTAAGCAGAGGCGAAACTGTAGAAATACAGTGAGAAGTAAGAAGGAGTTACTGTAGCAGAGATGACGGACTGCTATGAGAATCGAAACATTTCGAGTGTTCAGCACCACAACCATGGCTGGGCAGCTGTGAGAAGTGGTATAAGGTGCGCATAACCTTAAACTCTACCGACATCGCTTTAGGCATTGGGCATTTCCTTGGCGTTGCCATCACAGGGGCATCGCCTCTCTACGCTCCTTGGCAGCCTCTAGTTCCTCATATACCCAAGCACTCCTAAAGTCTAGGGTTTAGGGTTTAAGGTTTCGGGTGCAGAGCTTAGGGTTTGGAGTTTAGGGTTTAGGGTTTGGCGTGTTCCTCTGCCATGAGAAAGATCTTTGTGTTGCAGATATCTCCGGCTAAAGTATATTATATAGTTAACTTGCACTTAATCATGGCTTCCCATAGCCATGCTGCTTGAGGGTGCCTCCTAGTTCAGATCATCGTTCTGCTTCAACCTTCGGATCTGGTTCATAGTGCCTATACTCTAATGGGACCAAACTCATGGCCCATTGCAGAACATGCAGCTCCGGGAACTTAGGACAAAGATGCAAGTCCTGTGATCTACTGCTAGTATCAGGAATCCCAGCTGTCAGCGTGCAAACTCTTTCTTCCTCATCTTCCCCGCTTCCTCTTCTTCTGCTGGGCAGCTTCCGAAGCCCATGTGAAACACATGTACCAAGCTTGCAGCTGGCTGCGTTTTCTCGCTGTGAGACTGCTGATCGTTTTCTTTGTTTCATCAAAGCTGTCGGCAGCCAAATCTGGGTTGTAGCTCGCAGAAGTCGAAGCCCTGAGCTGCAGAAAGAACTCCCAATGTTTTGTGATTTGATGGATCACAATTATACGAGATATTACCCGGCTTAGTGTTGAATGCTGAACAAACAAGAGAAAGTGTGTGAATCATTATCCGTCCGAGCATCTTTCCTTGAAAGACTTTTCCGGAGCCCAAACGAACTTGGAAATGAGGTAACATCTTCGATGTGTGCACCATGTGTATGATCGTGCAATCGGCCGGCATTGCAAATCGCTCCTGCAACCACTGGGGCACTTGGGTGCACGAAGACAAAGCGTGGCGGCTCTCTCTGAGCCGTTCGGCTGGGGGTTGCTCGGGTGGTACACCTTGCTCATCTTGCTCGTTGTTGTCAGCACCATTCGGCTCTGGCTCCACAGCATTTGCATCATCTTCTGCTCCACCGCCTTCGTCCTGTCTTTGCTAGAATCTAACAACCCGGTGTGCATTGGGTGCAAGGTTAATTTGATGTTTGCTCTTAGTTGCTAGTAGTTATGCTTACACCAGACGGGTGCAGATTCTGATCCCTTGCCTCCGTGCCGGGCATCTCGTCAAGCATCTGCTCTGCATACTCAACAGCAGGATCATGTGCCCCCTCAGCTAGACCATCATCCAGGGCCTGAGTCATTTCTTCACACTGGGACCCTGCAATGCTTTCTGAGAAAACACCAAATTACTGTTGATAAACAGGATTTGCCTCCTCATCATCAGCAGCGGCATTGTCTTGGTCGTCTTTCGGCTGCTTGCGTCGTTTTTGATCAAGCTGCTGGAGCAAAACATCCAAGGCTTCCAGCTCCTCCTGGGAGCAGCTCTCTGTCACCACTGGCAGCTGCATGATCTGTCTCGTCTTGAATGTCTTCGTGCTGTTCTTTCTCGCATGTACTCCGTGGGCCGCCAAGAGCTTGGAGAGCTGATCTGATGTCAAGCGTACGATCGCCTTGCTTTTCACCATGTCGACCACAGGGGGCAGCCCATTTGCTGCCCTGCGTAAGCAAAGAGAAGCCCCGAGCTTGGCAGCATAGTTGGCAGGGAGCCAGTGCACACTGTAGGAAAAGACCGTGACCTGAACAGGCTCGCAATCGCACAGGATCACCAACTAACCGCCACACCGTTCAGTTGATTCTGACAGGACTTGGATTTTGCAGGCAGCGGCACTTTGGCGATGTCATCCATCAGCATGACTCTCAGAGGATGCCTTGGCAAAAGCACTGTGAAGCATGCAGTAGTAAATCATATTGAGCAAGCTGCACATGAAACTGAGTTGTTTAAGCGGGGTGCTGCCCAGCTTGGATCTTCAACAGGAGAGCCTTCACCCTCTCCTTGTCTCGAAGCGGATCCTTCTGTGAATACCGGGCTTCCCGAGACAGCATCTTCGTTTCGTCCTCCGTCGCCACAGGCCATCCTCCTATGAACAGGAGTCTATGCTCCTCCAATGGCACTGCCTTACATCCACAGGAACTGGGCTTAACCAAACATGCAAACACCATAACATGAGTCCTTTCATAGGCTTCTTAGGCATCAGATAGTGTGCTGAGGCCAGAACATACAGCACGGCAGGTGTCCCACCCACACAAAGATAAAATGCTCCATCGATCTGCAGCAGCTGGCCCCTTTGCAAAATGGATGGAATCCAAAACTTCTCCGAGGCCTCGAGCAGGTCCCGCCCGCTCCTAGAAAGGACAGTCTGCAGTCACTCCCCACAAACGAATAGCAAGTCACTTCAAGTCGAGCTGGCTTTGCTGCTGCCACAGCCACTTCTTTGCAAGCCGGAGGCCCCTCAGGAAATTGAGCTGAGACTTGCAATGATTGAAAGCACTCGTGGACTCGTACGGCTTCAAGACGTCGTCCACTCGCATCTCGGAACCTTAGCTTGATTCAATGTAACACGGTCCCTGCGTGGTCCCAATGCCAACAATTCCAAAACCGTGCTTACCCCGAGAATTGAATCCGGAGTACAAGACGATGCCGAGTCTGGTCGCCATATGCGAGGCTTCAGATTGCGAATGGCATTGCCCTCGTAGTCCTCACTTTCGAGCTTCACCAGGTTCGGGCCGCCCTCCACATCCATCTTCTGCTGCACGGCCCGCACAGTCACACATTGCAAGTTGCTCAAGCAAGCATCTCCGTTCTTCACACCACGGCGGCATGCATCCTGAAGCGAAGAGAAAATGTCTTCGATGTTTGATGAAAAACTGTAGCGGGGGAACCAGGCTTGCACACATGCCCGAGTGTCCGGGCACATCGCCCAGTCGTTCTGGTCGAAAACGGTGGGGATTTCCCGGAAGTGGTGGAAGGAAACAAAGGGGCACTCTTTGCGTAGCAACATGTTCATCTCTGGGTTTGCCTCCATCTCTTGGATCATCTTCCACTCGTCTCGCATGTCATGCAAAACCGTGCATTGCAGCTCCTTTGTTTCAGCATCGTCTTTGGGGTCTACCAAAAGGCAGGCCGATCGCTGAGGCGAGCTGCACAAGTAGAGGGCATACAACTCCAGCTCCATCAAGGTAGTCAGTGTTGCATGCAAATGATCCCAAGTCATGTCCATGCTGGTCGGGTGGGGCGGCTTCGAAATCACAAGCACCTCAGCCGTTTGGCGTGAGACATTGGTACTGTCATGTGGGAAACTACGAAGTGTGTCAAAACGGGCCGGGTGATTTGAGAGAGGAAACCATTCGCTTTGCATTTCCGAACCTAGAAGATGTCATGATATACTGCATCGGAAGCGGAACAGCCGTTTGAAATGAACCATTGATAAGTACGTGGCTTGGGAAACTGGCTTGGTGCTTTTCAGAGAAAACCTTCTCTGTCGGGTGGCATAGACTAGAGATATCGAAGCAACAAGAGCCGTTGCGGACTAGCCGCACCCACTTCGCGATTACCATGCTGAGTTCCAAGCACCCCTCTAGGACTATAGGCCGAGTCGAGGACGGTAGCATTGCCGGTGATTATTTCGGGGTTGAGGAAAACATGCGAGCTACTCCTATGACCCTAGAGTTTGTTTCTGCAGCCCCCCAATGAATAGAATGACTTTTGTGATCTGCACCTAACTGCACTTCGTGGGCACATCTGCTCTGACTCTGTCAAGTCACAGGATGGCTGTCGACATATTCACATGTCAAATCTGGCCCAACACCCATTTTCACAGCAGTCTGCACGGAGACGGCAGTGCGGAGCATCATGTTCAGCTGCTCGCCAAACTTTGCTTTGTTGCAGAACAAAGTGTGCCGGTGCAAAGCCCATTCTTTCGCTTTGTTCTTTTGCTTAGATGCAACAGACAGCTGATAGAGTAGCCAGACCACATGCAAGGCACTGTCTGCAAAGTCTTGCTGCCCGGCGGCCAACCAGCGGGCCATTGAACAGAAAGGCTCGCAAAGGTCTTTCAGGGCCTCGAACAATCCATGAACTTCCGGGTCCCACAATGCCTGCACGTTTCATCAAACTTGTAGCAACTTACTTATGAACGTGGCTTGCACTAACGGCACTACGGGAAATACAGTCCTTCAAACAGAGATCGACCACACGGTCGGCGTCTGTGGCCCTCTTCTTCTCACTTCCCGGCAATGTCGTGAAAGGGTTCATTCCAACCTGCAAACCATAGCATCACAGTCAAAGGCGGCCACAATTCAAGCGACAGGCGAGGCCTCCATTCCACTCCACGTAAGGATCAGCAAAGTTGCAGAAAATTGGCCGGCGAAGGCCCTTGCACAGAAGCCCCATGAAATCCATCTGCCTTCCTTGTGGATGGGCCCCTGCCTCCTCTGAGCGATCTCAGCGATGATTAGTGCACTTTCCACTCTGCCAAAACCCGGCCAAATTTCATTGCTAGCAAAGACACTTGCAGACTTTGTGCAACACCGCAACGATCCGTTCAAAGTCCATCCGTGCATCGCTGCTGCAGCTGAAGCCATTCCTGGGAAGTGGGTTCGTTTGTTGACAGAAAATCAGACGATGTTGGAAACAAGGAACACTCCGACATCCTCGCTCAACACACTGCAGCCGATTACAGATAGGGATCTCCTCCAGAATAGCCGTGCCAAACAACTGCATCAAGCAATCGTCCGGCTGAGCCTGCAGAGCTTGGAAACAAGGATTATGGAAGGCTTATTGTTCGCAGTGCAAACCCCACCGATTGTGGGCATGGGACCAATCACTTCAAATTCGAGACTAGATACGATTTCAAGATAGCGTGTCCCGGCAGCTCGCCAGGATTCGCCAACCCGGCCAGTGTGCCAGGGGCTTTTTCGAGCTTTCATCAGCCACCCTGTGAGCAGCTGGCAGCCTAAAGAACAGGAGCAGGCTGCTTTCTCAAGCTCATGATCGCTTCCAATGCAACCAAAATACGTTTGATTCCGGATGTGCAGTGTAGCACCCTCAAGAAATGATTCTGGAGCTTGTGCCTAAGTGCA